TCTTAACAACTGCTTACATCTTGTGCCTTTTCAGTTTTATCTCTATCTCCACTGTTTACATGTCTAAGATGATATTTGCACATCAAACAGTTACTTGGCTACCTAAAGCTGTCAGTGAGTTGAGACTCCACTGTAACTTGGTTCCTTAGTCAATATCCATCCAGCATTGTGCAAGATTCCCAGTTTCCTAAGATGGGCTTATTCCCCCCACCCCCAGTGGACAGTATGCCTTGGCCCCCTCAGCAGATTTTATTTATTGCAACTTTTTTTTTTTTTTCATTAAATAGATTGGATGTAATGCAGTTAGCTGGGCTCCTGCTGTTGTACCAGGAAGCCTTATAGAGCAACCATCTGGTCAAAAACCAAACTACATCAAAAGATTTGCATCTGGTGGCTGTGACAACCTTGTCAAGATCTGGAAGTAAGTTCTCTGTTGCCAGACTTAAGAGCTTATAAAACCTGGTATCCTTTATAGTCTTTCAGTGTTCTTCTGGTACCTCAAATAATACTTTTGGCATCTTTATGCTTTCATATTTGAATTATTGTTTTAGAAAAGTGCATTAAAAATGGAAACAACTGAGTGATGTACAGTGTCTCACATGGTTATAGTAATTTCTGTCAGCCCTGCTTCATCTTAGCTTGGGAAGTGGCTTTCTACTTGTCTTTGATTACCTGTGTCACTCGGACAACAGCAGATCCCTGTTCAGTAGCTGAAGATCAAATCCCTTCTCCTGTGCTGCTTTCTGTCCCCTGACAGGGGTTTGTCAGGGTAAGCCACAGAGCATTTGGGAGGAGAGTGGGGGACACTTGTGTTTTGTGTTACCTGCTTGAACTGGGAGTCTGAAAGCTACAAACCCAAAGCCTTCCAGAGCAGGAGATGGGAACTGCAACTACCTGCTGCTGCCAGCTTTCTGACCGTGGGAATGTGTTTCCAGGGAAGAAGATGGTCAGTGGAAAGAGGAACAGAAGCTGGAGGCTCACAGTGACTGGGTTCGAGATGTAGCTTGGGCTCCATCCATAGGTTTGCCAACGAGCACCATTGCCAGCTGCTCACAGGTGAGGCTCTGCTGGGGGACAGAGGCAGGTTCCTGGGGCCTGCAGAAAAGGGGGAGGTCCAGGAACAGCAAGGATAGAACTGCTCTAACAGGTCCTCTTGGCAATCTTTTGCTATAGCTGAGTCTGTGCTAATAATTCTGTAAATGCTTATTTTCTATCAAGAAGACTACTCACTAAGCTGCTAACTTGCTCTCTTGTGACTGGAAAGTAAAATCTCATTCTGGGGAAAAGACTTCAGCTGAAATGTGTGTATTTTGGGAACTCTTCTCTGGTGTTTGTAAGTCACCATCTGTGTAGTTCTTCTCATCACAGCTGTACTCCTGTCTTGCTTTTAGCTGTAGGAAGGACAGCCTCTGCTGTGCTGAGCAGAACTCCCTGTGGACACACCTGGGGTTCGTGTCAGCTGTGGTTTGAGGTGCAGCTCCAGGTGCACTCAAGGTGGTTCTTTCTGTGCTGTAACTCATGCAGCTGCCTCATTCTGCTTGCTTCTGCAGGATGGCAGAGTGTTCATCTGGACCTGTGATGACGCCTCTGGAAATTCATGGTCACCAAAGCTGCTGCACAAGTTCAATGATGTTGTCTGGCATGTGAGCTGGTCCATTACTGCAAACATTCTTGCTGTGTCTGGAGGAGACAACAAAGTGAGTACTGCTGCCTTGGCCTTTGCTCCTGCATGCTGCAGTGCCAGCAAGCTGAGATGAGACAGGCTCTTGTCAGTTTGGTTAAGACTGTTGGAGATTCTCCTTTGGATTTTTTTCTCTTTTGACTTACCAAGAGGGGAGAAAGACCCCTAACCTCTGCCCAACTGCTTGCACTGCACCCTTGGTCCTACTGGAGATGAGAAATGTAGGCTCAACTCCACATACTTTCCCCCTTTACCCCTGGATGGATATTCCATAGGCAGCCACAAATAACTTGATACTTAGAACAACACTGCCACCCTTCTGTAGCTTCAGATGGTCACCAGCCTGGTGCTGTGGCTGCAGGGACTGTGTGGAGGCTGGAACTGCCTCGTGGTCTGTTTTTCAGGTGACGCTGTGGAAGGAGTCGGTGGACGGGCAGTGGGTCTGCATCAGCGACGTCAACAAGGGCCAGGGAGGGGTTTCTGCTGTGACAGAGGGGCAGCAGAATGAGCAGTGAGGCACCAGGGGATGCTCCAGCTGCAGCAAGTGATCACTGTACCTGATTTGCAATGTTTTTTGAACCAGATGAGAACTGATTTTTTCTAAACTCAACATGAAGATGGGAAACAATTACCCGATTTGATGAGCACTCTATAACCATTGCTGGAAGGCTACAACATGTTGATAATCAGCCTTAATTGACATTCCTTTAAATTTAAAGAGCATAGCAAAGCACTGTGCCTTATACTACTCCCTGATGCTGTAGAAGTTGTGCCCTGTTTTTCCAGCCTAGGGATCAAAATGAGTTGGATGTGCTGCAGACTTCAAGCACCTGCCTAGGAAAGGGAGGCAGCTCTTGGGGGTGAGGTGTGAACCCCTTTTTACAAGGGGACAAATGCTCTGTCCCTTCCCAGGCCAGAACTGTTTCAGGTGAGGGGAAGGGCTGGTGCAGTTTGTGGCACTAAATGACAGTGTGCTAGCCAGCCCTTCTGGTGGTAGTGAAGTGGTGCTTAGATCTTAATAAAAACAATGTGCTTGGATATGTGGAAGTCTCTGTGCTGTCTTGAGGATTAAAAGGAGTAGTGGAATGCATATGTGTTTTGCTTTACAATAATCTCAAACTTGGTTATTTAACCAACATCAATACATCAAATCATAACTCAAAGATTATTTTTTTTTTGTAAGCCACAATTCTGTACTGTACCTCAGGTTTGGTTTTGGTTGTTTGTTGGTTTTTGTTGGTGGTTTTTTTGTTGAGATACCAACAGAATAAAGTCCTCTTGGTTAATGGCTGGTGTGCTGTATTAATAGTCTTGTCAAGGGTCTCATCTGCCTCCAGTCACACCCCTGCCACGTTGTGTCAGTCCCCCACAGCCTCACAGGAGATGGTGTCAGAAGGGGCACCATGTTGCCCTCAGTTGCACTCATGGGCCGTGGCACTTCAGGCCAGTATCATGGGCTGGAACAAGCCCTGTTTCCATGTGCCCTCAGCTGCAGGATGAAGGACTCTTCCCCTCTCACCTGAGGGAAAGTGCTTCACTGAAAGGTCACATTTTTCCTTTACTCCTCAGCTGTGCTGAAGCAAGTGAACACAGCCCTCCTCCTTCTCCAAGGCAGTGGTTCCCAGGCACACTCTTTGTTTTGCATAGTCAAGATAATACGCCTGCTTTTCTAGAAAGGCAAACCTTGTTCTTTGATGGTTATCTATACTAACCAAACACTAACCCAGCTGCTCTCACAGCAGCACAGACATGAATTATCTCTCTGTACACCAACAGGAGTATGCAACATTCCTGTTCCTGTTTAAATGCACTGTAGCCTTACCCCAAAGCAATTAATCAACCCATCTAGAAATTAGCATTACCTCCCAACAGTTCCATTTCAAATTGCACAGCAAAGCAGTATTTCCTGTCAAGCTGTTCTGAGTTTCTACCAGAATGATGATAACTGCTGTGGTGAACAGGCAGCCTTTTGTCCCCAGCACTTGTGCCTGGGTACCCAGCACCCTGCCACCTCAGAGGGGTCTGGTTGCCCTTTAATGCCTGTGCAAACTACAAACTTTAAGTGGAAACACATCAGCTCCAACAAAAAGGCTCAAGAATGAAACCTCACTCCTAGTTTTACCACACTTCATTCTAGGGAAAAGGGCACCAATTCCCTAAGTACAGGGCAAGTTTTTGCCTGTTGGAGGTGTTAGGTTCCACAGTTCACCATGTTACAAGCTATCCTTAGATTTTGAGTTTTAATACTTGTAATTAAAATCTACTCCACAGCAAGGCCCAGCTCAGCCTGTTCCTCCTTCATGCTTCAGCTGAAATGTATCTCCATGGTTTCCAGTGATGATCAAAGCATGCTCAACAATTACAACTGATAAAAGATGAAGAGATACACAGTTTTGATCACAGCAACTTGGTCAACATCATATATTCTTTCTTTTCTCCTACTCTCTCAAGTTAAAAGAAAAAAAATAATCAAATCCCAGATTTGTCTCACTGGGATTTTTTCAGACCCTCAGCCATTGCTTCACTGAACTGTTAAGAAATTGTTCATCTTCTGGTCTTAGAGTAATGGAAGCAAGGTTTTCAAGGTATCATTTGCAGTTTCAGTCTCCCAGCAGAAGACAAAATCTGCTAAACCAGAACCTGGGAGAGAAGACACAACAGAGGGTCACAGCACCAGAAAAAGGGGTTGGGGCTTTTCCTTCTTGAGAAACACACGTTACAGCCACTGATTAATGTTTAAAAGGAACAACGTTAATGCCACAGGAAAAAAGGAAACTCTCCCTTCATTCCCCTCACAACTCCATGACACACAACAGGCCCAGCCACAAATCTGTGCAGCTTACACTTTTTCTGTTGATTTTGTTACCTTCCAAGCAGGCCAAGTTTCCATGGAATTTGAATACCTATCAGATTCCACTTCCAGGAATATTGTAGCACAAAACAAACATTCCACTCGATATATAAAGTGCTTCAGAAAGCAGCTGTTTGGTGAAGCCACAGAACTAACCAGGTAAAGTTTCTCAGCATTTGCAGCTTTTGCTGGTTTTCCTGTGTAATTCCTCTCCACTAATGTGTCTGTTCCAGGACTTTTACCTTAGTTATAGAAGAAAACACTGTAAGTAATAATCTCTTTTGGACAGGATATTTTTACCTTTAGCATGTACAAATGATGTGCATTTTATACATCCTTCTTTAGAAATAATTTCAGGAGAAAGATTCTCACTGGATGTGGATTCAATTAAATGCAGAGGCTGTAAAATTTGTTTTATGTTTCAACCTATGTTTTCAGGCTTGACAACCTGCCTTTGGGAAGATAACCATGTTTCTCAGAATTACTCTGCTGGGAATTATGCTTTTCAGCATCCTCTGGACAGAAACTACTCTAGCTGGCTCTAGTTTTTTAAGCCCTGAATATAAAAGACTGCAGGTAAAAGAAATTCAGAAAAATACCTTCTCAAGATTATCCTCTTTAAGTCCTTCAAACCAATATTCTTTACAGCATTCAGAGAAGCTTTTAGAAGACACAGTTTCTGGAAGATGAAGGAGTTATTCCAGAGAACTTCTGTAACAAACCATTAGCATTGTGTTCACGCTATGAAAATATGTATTTCTTGTATAACAACTGAAGAGAAAGCATAATTTAAATAATTTGTTGGCATCTTCTTTGGACATTAACTGTAAGGTACTTGTTCTTTAACCTGAACCAAAGAGCTATTCAAGTGCATGCAGTGGTGGCAGTTCAGTACTTACAGATTTACACATCCACATACACGTCTGATGCCTTCAGCTAATTTGCTAACTCTGTGTTAATTATAGGTTCTAATTCTCCCACTACAGACTAGCTGGATTATGGAGAAAACATACTGATGTTCTTTTGCTTGCTTTCTAGCAACAAAAGGGTCCAAAAAACCCCCCAGCACAAGTGCATCGCCGAGGCGCAGAGGGGTTTTGGGATGCAGATGAAGTGGGAGCAGAGGATGACAGGAACAGCATTGAAATTAAGGTGTGTATTTATTCTTCTTGCTCATATATGAGGTTAAAGGGTGGGGTTGGTTACAATCATATTTAACTTGAAACACAAATAGGAAAGGGCACATGAGAACTGCCAGCACTGATGGTATGAAATGATGTAGGCTTTGCTGCTGTAATTCAGGTCAGTTTGCAATTTAGGATTCACTTACATTTCAGAACTCAGATACAATAATGGAGTTGCTTGTAAAGGTTTCTTTCCTCCACTCTGCTGTGCAGTTTGGTTTGCAGTAGCTGTACACCCTGCTTCTCAGATTGTGTTACATGTCTCAGCACTAATAAGTGAACAGATGGAATAGCTTTTTATACCTCATGCTTGTCATCATTCATGTGAATAAAATGCACTTGCAGTGTCCTTGTCCAGAACTTGTCTGTTAAACTGTCTTTTAATGTTTGTATAGTTTGATGTTCCCTTTGAAATTGGTGTCAAGATAACAGAAGAAGAGTATCAAGAGTATGGACAAGCTCTGGAGAAGATGCTAGGGGACATACTTGAAGGGAATGCTAAAGGTAATGCTGCCAAGACAGAAAAGCAGGGGGTTGTGTTTTATTAAATAACAAACAAACCATCAACACCACAAACCAAACAACTTTTGTCATCTGATTTGTAATGTGAGACATTCAGATCAGCATTTCAGAAGTGACTGGGACTAAGTTGCCACTAAGAGAACCCCTAAAATATCTGATGTTCAGAAACTGCCAGCTGAGCTCTGAGGAGGCACAGCAGGGTACCCAGGCAGGAGGGGAAGGATTCCTTCCTCTCCTTGCACCACCAATCTCTATCTTCCCCTTGCCCTCACATTCCAGCATTCAGCTAAGACCTCCACAATCTGCATGGTGAAAAGTACTACAAGCCTGAGTGTAACTAAGATAGTTCTGGCAGATTCACTGGTACCTAAAGCTCCAGTGAGCAACTCCCAGCACGTGCCACCTGGATTTACCTTCTCAGCTGGCACTCAGGATCTGCCCTCACCCACCTGGAGCTGAGCTTGATGGATCTTGTGCTCTGATCTTTATGTCAGCCTGGATATCCACGTTACACATTCCAGCTACAAGCTGCCTCACACTTCTGCTCTCAGTCTGCTCCTCAGGCTCCCCAGACTTCCTCTCTGTTTCCCTCTGAGTTCCTTCCCAAGGGATGCTGCCCTGGCCAGTGCAGAGCCAGGGAGTCTCCTGCCCACCTGGAGTGGGGCCATGTCAAAGCCACCTGATCTTCTGCCTTCAGCTGTGGAACTGTGAGGTGATCAAAACAGGACCTTCAGAAAAATATTAAAACTATCAAAATTAATTGTTCTCTTTTGCCTTTTTAGAAACTCAGATGACAAACTGAGGCAAGAGGGACAAAGGCAGCACTAAATGGCTGGATTTTTTTTTTATTTTACTTTAAAATGAAATTCCTACTGATTTCACAACTCTAAAGAAGAAAGAACCACAGGAAGCCAAACAGTTTGCCCTGACAGACTTGGAATAGCTTATCTTTTAAGGAAGACTACAAGACCTAGAGCCAAAAATAATCAAGGGCAAGGTGAATCACAGGCTGACATGCAGGCTTATTCTCCTATTTCATCTCTTTTCCTTAGTAAATAAAATTATTACCCTAAATGACATGTTTGAAGGCTATACAAATTCTTTCTAAAGCTGGTGGAAACGTCTTCTTACACTTGTATACACATCTGCCATAGAGAATAAAGATTATGCTGAAACTGCAATTATTTGTGAGCTGGTTTTTATTTGCATAAGAGGAGCTCAAACTAGATAGTTCATGTAATAAATTACACAAACTACACTGACAAGGACTCAACTTTCAGCTGCCAAATTAGCTTCATTGCTTTATTGACAAATTGATCCACTTGTCAATATGGATCTTATCAAGGAAACCATCTAATATCTCTTCCAGTTTAAAACAAACAAACAAAAAAACACAAAGAAAAACAAAGGAGTTATCCAGTTAATTTGCTTGGATTCAGAACCACATCCATACAAAAATGTCAATAAAAGGCTTTCAAGAACAGTAAGTTGCATGATCATCAGAACTAGCTGGCACACAGATACTTGGGTTGGAGCAGTGAACTGCACCAGAAGCAATCACTGAAAAAATCCTAAAATCCTTCTTTTTCCCCATATTGACATGAGTTTAAAAAACCAAGGGCATCTGGGCTGTTGCTGTGATTACACTGTGGTTCGTTCTTACTAATAATTTAATATAACAACTTATTTATTTATTATTTATTTATTAAAGATCACCTTAGGAAAAGGCAAATGCAGCCACCACAGGACTTACCTGCAGCTGTAATCCATCCCCAACTGAGGATGCAGCCTTATTTTGGTTTTGCAAAACACTTAGGAAAAGCAAAAGCTGTCTTCTTCCACTAATTTGACATGAAGATGCAATTGTGAAACTGAAATAAGCTGACTAATTAAGCTATAATCAACCCAGTTCCTATGCAGGCAAAAAACCAGATAGTAACATCACATCAAAGCAATCACAGTCGAGGTCCCTCAAAATGAGCAGCCAGTATTTCAAAATGACTTCAAGTGCTTAATTCTTTATAGATTAGGGAAGTGAAAAACAGCCAGTCACTTCAATTGTAACAGTTCCCCAATCTAAAGAATGACCTAATGTTTGTCTTTTTCTCCTTTTCCTGTAATGGTTCATCACTAGGCTGGGCTTTACAAAACCAGGAAAATTCCTCAAGTAAGAAACAGCCTGAGAACATTTCACCCATTTTAGACACAAAACTGGTTTTGTACAATGCACACACAAGCTGCAGACAATGGTTACAGAAACACTGGCTGATTTGTTACACAGCAATTAGTAGCCTTGAACACTGTGTAGTGCAGCTTTCTGCAGGCTCTGCATTCAGATGCCTTCCTAGTTTTGATAGTAGATGTGATGCTACATGTTTGTATTTATTCACATTATTAAAACTTAATGTACAAGAAAACACAGAATAATGTGACAATTAATGGCTAATTCTTACCATTCACCAACCACACAGGATGATATTCAGCCTCTGGGTTTTATCACCACCTTTGGGAGGTGCTGGTCTCCAAATTAGTTTTACTTGCATAGTTCTACAGTTCTGTAACAACTATATTTTATTTAAAATTTATATTCTGTGTCCTTGTTCTAGTGTTAATGGATTAAAAAAAATAAGCAGAGCTGTCTTTCATTCTTGACAAAGAGCTACAGTGTCTTAAGGATAAAGAATACTATAGATTGTGCATCTAAACAATGAACGTCATTGACCTTGAGCTGCTTCCCTACCAACACAAATTTACCTAAATAGGCTGGATTGAGAGACATTTTTATGTGCCATAAATCATGAAAAAGCAGTTTATAGGGTTTTTTTTCCAGTTTTTTTTTTTTATTCACAAAGGTATTAGTAATATTAATGTATAGATTTGCCAAGTTAAGATTAAAATAGGCACTCTGACTCCTCTGAGAGCACGTGGTGAGTGTGGCACCAGAACAGGCCCACGTACAAGCTCCTCTCACCAATTCTTTTCCCCATTACCAAAATAAATAAAACTAATTTCAAGTGACATATAACAAAAATTAAAGATATTTTAAATTAAAACCTTGTATGTAGTCCAACATTTACAAGTTACCATCTGAAATTCAATGAGAAACCTTAACAACATGTAAAGGACACTTAGGAAAAAATTACCTTCCAAAAATGCTCTTACGAAGTATCAAACACTGTCTCAGAGCCCCTGGCAGTGAAACTTGAAGGCTGGACTTCAAACAGTGTCATGTGTAGGTATGTAGTAGAGCAGCTCCTAGACTTTTTTGGTTTCAGTACGTGGGCCAAGATTACACAGTGTGGGACAGATGATTTTGAAACCTGAGCCCTGCTCCAGCCTCTGAAGATTTCTGCCTGCTGGTACCCAGCAGGATAACAACAAAGGGTATTGCTCACTGGCTGCTGATCACTTGCCCCACAACTTCTGGACTGTGGTTTCCAAGACATACATCATGTGCAGTTGCTCTCTGGAAAAGGATCATAAACTATTTGGCAACTGTTTGTGTTTGCTGTAGCTTCTGGCAGTGCAGACTGAAAGGAAGAAGGCATTTCTGGCTGCAGAGCAGCACTGTGCTTCAACCTGCTCCAGAACTGATGCTTTCTCTTTCTTCCCAGTGGGATCACTTTTGCTTCCTTCAGTCAGGGCTCATGTTTCTGATCCAGATCTGCTACTTAAATGAAAGGCACTTTTACTGTCTTTCTAATGGAGAGAAAGTCCTAATTTCTTCTTCTGAGCTGGCCACTGCAGAGAAGTCCATCCAATTTATGATTCAAAAAGTTCAGAACTGTTTAATTTGTCTTCTTCATACAGCAAAATATTTTCCATGAGCTTCTTTTTTTGATCATTTATCTTTATTTTCCAAGATGTCTCTCTGCCTGCTGCTGAAAAACAAAAAATATTGAGAAAAAGATCCACCTAAGGAATAAATCATCATTTTACATATAAAAAACCCCTCACAAACCCGGCTTGGGAAAAAACCAGAGGCAAAACCAGGGAAATATTTAATGGATTCATTGGTAAAATCATAGCCAACAATAAAGATTTACTGTAATGTGTTTAGAAGTAGGATGAAGGATCTAAGCAATTCTGGAGAAGACAGGAATTTGTTCCCACTGTTATAACACCAGGGCACTTTTACAGCAGGAGCACGGGCAGGTTTGCCAAACCAGCCTGAAGATCACGTGCGTTTGAATGTTCTTCAAACTTATCTAGACTTACCTTGTGAAGAACACGAGGAGTCCAGGTCTGCATTCCTTTCTGGGAAGGTGCTCTGAGCAGCAGCCGCTGCTTCCAAGGCATGGGCACCTCTGGTGCAGGCAGCACTTCTCTCCTGGAGCCCATTCGCAGGTTTTTCCTGCTTTACCTTCCACTCAGAGGCTGCCACGTTCCCCGGATCGTGAGAGCTGGTGCTGGACAGCTCATCTGCACATCTCTCCGAAGGATTCCATACGAAGCTACTTGACTCATCGGACTCACACGGCACCCGGGACACCTGCCCGTGCCCCGCGCCAGGTGAGACGCGCCCCGTGCCAGGTGAGACATGCCCTGTGCCAGGTGAGACATGCCCTGTGCCAGGTGAGACGCGCCCCGCGGGCTCCGTGCCCCCCGGCCCGGGGGGAGGCACCTCCGTGCTCGCTGTCTCGTCGTCCGTTTCCTCGGGAGTGTTAATGGAGAACCCGGAAATGCTGCCTCCGCACAGGTAATGCTCTGTTAGTTTATTTTCAGCCATTTCCATCATTTCAAGCACCTGTTTTTAACAATGAAATCCGTGAACGCAGATTAATTCCTGTTCCCCTGCTCAGACACCTCCTCCTGTGTCACCCTCTCAAAAATAAGCAAGGCACGAGTGCTGCAGCTTCAGACCTTGCTGTCAATAAGACCAAAACCCTGGCCATGTCTTTAAGCCATTACCTCTGCTATGGTGGGACGCTTCTTCCTCAGGCACAGACACACGGCTGAGGCAAAATCAACAGCAACCTCCTCCAGCAAGTGGCCTGCTCTCCTGTCTAGGTATTTACAGCAGATCTCCTTGGCAGCCACCTTTTCAACATTCTTCACTTTGGAACATGAGCTTTCTTTAGCTGTTTCAATTTCATTGGCAATCATATCTTTCTGTTCAAAGGAAAGAGAGATGTCAGTGAAGAGAACATTAACACAAACCTGTATCTACCTGCATGACTGGGAACCTGACTTGAGTATTTGTTATTACTGCTCCTAAACAGCTGGTTTACAGACCTAAAAGCTTTAAGAATTGATGGAACTGACAGAAATGTGTTTCCACAGGAGAGAAAGGCCAAAGGTTTTCTCTGCAGGTGTCCAATGTCAAATCCACCAAGGCAGACCCAGCTCCTCAAGGCTTGTGCCCATTTATTGGGATGAAAAACACTCAACACTGTGGATAGCAGCCTTGCTCAGGACTTGCCAAATGTTTGTTAAGGGAATCCAGAGGATTCCTTATGTTCTGAACCCATTTAACATTGCTGAATTGCTTGGAAACGTAAGAAAAAATAATGTTGTTTTCCACTCAAAGGTTTCAACATCACAGAGGAGGAAGAGAGGTGGAGTCTGTTCCCATGCAGCTGAACCAACTCTCCTGCTTGTGCAGTTCTCATCACTGCTTGGGCAAGTTGGCCAGAATGTTACACCCAGGCACTAGTGCAATAGATAAACACCCAACAAACACAATCATCAGCAACTGCAGTCACCACCTACTCGGGTCTCCCCATTCCGTTTGGCTCAGAACCTTCTTCCTGGCACATAAAGCACACGCAGCAGCATTTCAGCCCAGAGCCTTGACTCTTAAATAATCCATTCTCTAGACACCAATGATTCTGGAGTATCTCCCAGTATGATGGGGCCAGCACTCCTGAGTGTGGCATGTGAAATGGGAAGAGACATCCTGCTTCCACCTGAAGGCAGGCAGGCTGCAGGTGGTAACAGGCCCAGGATGCAGCTCCTGAACATCTTCAGGATGTGTTCAGCAGACTGCAAACTGTACACAAACTGTATTTATATAAAATGAAAATTCATTGTATGACAGCAACCCCATTCACTCGTGCTGGTATTCATGGTTCCTGCTTTTTCTTACCAGATAAATGGGGTGTCTTGCTTCATCCAGTGCCTTAATCCCTGTCAGTACCTCTGCTAAGACCTAGAAAGAATATTTGAAAGAGAAAACAATTTGTTCAGAATTAATGCTGTTTTTACTTCAGATGGCTTAACAATGCCAGACTTGGGCACTTCAGATCTACCTCCAGAGCCAAGTCCAAGCCTTTGTTAGGTAAAATAAGATATTTTTTAAACAAAGGATGAGAAGAAAGTAATTCTAAATCTAGACAAAAAAATCACACTGAGGAGAATAACTTCCTACTTAAATGGAAACACGCGAGACAGGTGATATCATAGACTATCAATTATTTTAGCTGAAATTCCAAAGTGACAGGTGATGTTTGTAGCAGCTCATGTGGCAAACCTGTGAGAATTCTGAGTACTGAACTGCAGGCTTTCTGCTCCTCTTTTTTTAACTGACCAGTAGTAATAATTGTTCTGTGACAAGACACAGTATTGTTTCAGTTGTTCAGAAGATTCTTCACAAGCTGAACATGTTCTAGAGTCAGGAGTTGTGACATGAAATTGCTGGGAAAACAACTATATGGGGCACCTGCTGTTTTATCCAGTTTCCTGTCTAGAAGCACCAAAGAATGCAACGTGGAAAAGGGCAACATACCACACCACAGCCAAATATATCCACTTTTTCTGTTAACTGCCCATGTCTGACAAAGTCTTCTGGCAGGTAAGTAAGAGAAGCTTGTAGGACTTTGGTTTTCATCACAGCATATGTTGATTTTTTATCAACAGAACACAATCGCAGACCCGAGTGTCCAAGCTTTGGGGTAAAGTTTTCATCCAACAAGACATTTGAGCTGTGATAAAGGAAAACAGATAAAAATATTGGTAAAGAACTATAATTTGACACTTTCAAAGTTAAGTGCTGAAAGTTCCCAGTATTTGGCTTGCTGTGTGTGTGAATGAAAGGATAAAGAACGGTAGAAAGAGGGAGGGGAAAGAACAAGCACTCCAAAAAGGACTTCAAAAGAATTACTCCACCATTTAGAAAGAGAAACAGATTAAACTAAAACAGTAAATACTCTACAGACTGAGAGAGCAAAAAGATACTGCAAATGGATTTCAGAATTCCATAAGCTTTCAGCCATTACTGTTAAAGAAATCCTGGTATTAGCAGGTGACCAAGAAAGTGCTGACCTGCCAAACCCCTCACCTTTTGATATTCCCATGAAGAATCCCAAAATTATGTAAATACTCCACAGCTCGGAGCAGTCCCAGAGAAATGCTGATTCGCATCTCCCAGGTCAAAGGAGCAGAACCATCCTGCAAGGAAGTGAGGAAAAAATGGTATTTTATAGAACCAAAAACTGTAAGACAGTGTCACTGTGAAATGTCAGAGCACATGATGCCCATGAATATGATGATGGATTCCATAGAAACATACTCCCCAGTCCAATGAACTATTACAATGTTAATGGACACATTTTGCAGATTTCTTATTACTTTCAAAATCTAAAGGCTGCACAGCAGAACCTTGCTGTCCTGATCTGCTCTGCAGCTTTGCAGTCAAGATATTTGGGCACTTGTTTTTTTTACTGTTTCTCAGAATTCAAAGAGATGTAATTGCTTTTCATACAGTAACAGGACAGGACTTGTAATCACAGATAACAGACCCAGATGATTTGCTTACTTGACACTGCAGCTTGTTTTGCAGGGATCCATTAGGCAGGTATGGATATATCAGGCAGTGCAATCCAGTTTCTACTGAGAAACCCAGCAGCTGCAAAATGTTGATGTGACAACACCTGCAGGCACAGAGCAACAGTGACTACTTGCAAAGGAAATAAGAGCAACACAGAAAAATACATTCCTGAGCTGGAATAAATCCCTAAATTCAAGTCAACCAGGCCTGCTGTGCTGCAGCTGGAAGCACAGGCTGGCTCAGCTGTGGAAGGCAGAGCTCCCGCACCGTCTCGCCCAGTGGCCATGGTGGGGTTTGCTCAGGAGGGCCCTGGAGCCCCCCAGGAGGGAAGTACCCCACTTGCCCAGGGCCCCAGCACAGCCCTGGCAGCCCCAGCTGGTTCAGACTGGCCAGGGACATGGGCTGTGGTGAAGAGGCAGACACTGACCGAAAGCAGATCTGCACTTCTGTGTGGAAGAACCTCTGGGTGGAATCTGGGCTGGTGCACTCCACCTGAAACATGAAAACATGCAGGGTCAGTAGAGAATATGAAGATCTTGCACTTATACAGATCTTCTAGGCTGTAGATGACAAGCTACTTTAGAAAACAGGCCAGTGTAACTGATGGCAACTTTGGTCAAAGGCAACAATTAATTGAAAATTAGAACAAAATACAGTGTAAAGATCCCTCTGACCCAATCATCAATGCAGGAAGCTACCTTGCAGGCCACTCCCATGGACAGAGTTACTAAAACTACTCACAGGAGAACATTATCTTTCATATGTGCTTGCTGAATCTAGGTTTGCTTACTGCTCATAATTCCTCTCCTCTTGTGCAGCTGTTCTGGTTCCCTGCCCCCACAATATGATGCAACAACTGCTAATGCTCAAGAGATACTAACAACATTTTTCCTTCAAAGAAAATGAAAAGGTAGAGTACTTGCCTCCTTCAGTCTTTTGATGACATACACCATGTTGTTCCTCTGACCTTTGTAGACATCTGCAAAAGTACCTTCACAGATCCTGCCCTTGTCACTGAAACCATCTGTGGCATTAGTGACTTCCCTCTGGGTCCACAACAGGCTCCCGCTGGGGAGATCCGTCATCGTCTCCTGCTGCGGAGCAGAAGAGCTGCAAGGCTACACATTTGTAGAAGAAACAAGTTTATCTCATGAAAATCCATATGATTTTTCTTTCTTTCAGGTGTCATTTCCTTTCCCATGATTTAAGCAATCACTGTGACTGCTGAAGGAAATTGTGAAAGGTCCTGTGCAATCCCTCGTTAGGGCTTCCCCTTGTGACACCTGCCTCGCCGGGTTTTGCTGATGTAAACATTTTGCCTAGTAGAGGAGACTCAGAAACAGTTACCAACTTGCCTTTCCACCTTTCCCACAAAACAGACTTAGTATGTGTATTTATTTGAAGTTACGTTATTTTAAGTTATAAAAAAACATTAATCTTTATGGCTGGAGCATCTACTAGGGAACAGCTGAATCAGAAAGTAGGGTCCCTCATAATGTATTTGTGTTCTGCTGGGAACTTCACATCTACTTCTGAAGCATCTGGTGTTGGTTGCACAATAATTTGTTGCTTCCAGCATGGGAAGTCCTAATGCCAACTGCTATTGCAGTTCAGTGGAGCCTAATTACACAGCCTTCACAACCCTGATGTGAGAAAACAAAACATTCACTCCCTCGCAAGAAACTCTGGATCTACTGCCTCCTTTGTAGCCATCTTCTCTTTTGGCTGGTACTCTTGAACCATGTTATGCTGGAAGAGTTTAAACTCTTAAAACACAATCTCGTTTTAAAAAAAATAAATCAACCAAAATAAACCAAAGAACACAGGTCAAGGCAGAACCACGATGGAACCAGAGCATGCACATGGCTCTGGGAAACACCCTGAGATCCCACAGGACAGCTCTAGCTAGCCTGTCATGAAGACAAGAGAGAGTCAGGGAGGAAGAGCAGGAGTCTGTGCTAAAATCATTGGGAACACAAGAAAGACTTCTGACAGTGAGAAGGTTAAGCACTGGAACAGGGACTCGGAGAGGTGATGGAACCTCCAGTCCTGGAGACTTTCAGCTACACAAAGCTCTTGGCAACCTGTCTTAAAATTGATACTAGCCCAGGTTTGAGTGGAAACCACATTTGAAGTGTAAAATTAAACTAAAAGAAGTATGTCATTCTGACTAGCCAGTGATACACACTGCACTGTGTCCTATGATCACACCAGAAACGTTAAGTCCTCTGTAAAACCTATGCTGGAAATTCCTTCAAAATGATTGTAAGCAATCTAACTGCATCATTAGTAGTATTCAGTCCACACAGATTGCCATCAAGCCCCATTTTTTCACCAGAGCTGTATTTTACACAAGTGGAGGGACAAACTTTAAATGAAGAAACACAGATTTTTTTTTTGTTGTGATCAAAGAATATGAAAGGGATTTACCTTCACACTTGATGAGACAGGAGGATTTGACTGTAAGGATTTCAAAAGGTCTCTTGGGGGAGGTGGTGGAGAAGGGAGTGAACACAAGGCTCCTTCAGAAACAGCACCTGAAACTGAAAATAGCAGCACTGAGAGGACACCCAGTTTTTGTCTTATCACACAGCCTGTGACTAATGATGAAGGTCTGGGTATTTTGTTGAATTTCCTAACCAGGGACAACCTGTGATGAGCTGTCAAAATGTGACACCCTGGGTGAACCCAGGGAGCTACGTCCCTGGTTCCTCTTTGCAGGATGACTTGCAGGTCTGTGTGTCTGGGCAGCCCCGCAGGGGGCCCGGGGGGGCTGCTCCTCCCTCTGCCAGCACCTGCAGCCCTGACACGGGCAGGGAGCAGGACACAGGTGTCCTGTTCCAGTCTGTGGAGCCAGGACAGGACCAGGGTGTTCACAGAGACCTGAAAAATGTCATCGAATCCCAAGGACAGACGCAGCCAGCATCTCTCAAAGTCAAGAGAGCTACAGGAAGGAGGAACAGAAGGCCGTGTGCTAAAGTTAGAAATAAACAGCTCAGGAGGCAGCAGTGCTAGGAAAAAGGCAAATATTCAAATGTGACCCCTCAGAGGAGCAGTATATTCTTTATACTGCCCTGAAAGCAAACGGGAAGCAGTCTTCTCTATATATTAAAGCAAATTCAGAATCTGCTACTTACCACCTGCTGGTGACACTCCCACGTGTGAAGAGTCTGGTGCTGGCAAAAGACTCATCTCTTTTTCTGTCTCTTTATTTTTGTTTCCTGTGGGAGTTAAAGAGATGTTCTCCTGTTTAGGTGGCTCTACCAGCTCTTCTTTTCCAGAGTTGGGGATGTTAGAGGCTGATGTCCCTTCAAAAGAGAAGAAGAACAGATTAGCAGGAAAAACAGAATCTGACCCAGATTTTTTTTCATGCTGTTTTATCAGCTTTATCTCTTCAGCACGGTGGTGATTTGGGGATTAAAAGCCACAGGCCTCTGCATTTGAAATCAGATAATAGCTTTGTGCTCCTTTTTTTTTACAAAGCACTGGGAGTACTCAAAAGGAGCAGGAAGCAGTATGTTTTGTTTAGAATCTGTGCTCCTTACAACAAACCAAGATGGAGAAGTGCTGAAGAGAAGCCAATCTCAGTGGCTGAAGGGCAGGAGTATTTGAAAAGCATTAATGGCAGAAACAGGCATGTTCATTTTTTTCCTTTGACCTCTGGGGTTTGTATCTTTCTTCAGTATTGCCTAAAAATGCAGGTTTGAATGAAACTAGGTCTTCAAGTTAAAACTCAGAAAAAAACAGGCATGTTTCTTTATTACTGCTCTAGAATTATCCAAAATCCCAAGTTCCAGGGTTTTTACAAGGGCTGTCAGACAGCCCAGCCACAGGCCTTTTGTGACAGCCCGTGGACTCTGCAGTTGTTGGCTCTTCCCTCCTAAGCTTTAACCTAGAAGTCTCTGAAACTAGAATCACTTCCTGCTTTTAACTTGTTTTTTACGTTTTTTTATTAATTTTGCAACTTCCTGTACACACACACACACACACACATTACTGAAGCTGAAGAACTGACATAAAAAGATTTATTATTATGGACCACAGAAGTGGAACTCAAGTAGTTTAAGAAATTGCTGAAGGGAAGTAGAGCTCTCCTGGAAGTAACCTGTCAGGAGAACATGAAGGGATACGCTGAAATAAGCCAGCTGTAAGTAAAGGTGGGCCCAGAATGTGCTCCAACAGGGACAGAAGGCAAGGGCTGGCACTAGGTAGAGCTGAAGGTGTGGTGGGTTACACGGTGTGGGGTAAGAGCACCCACAAACTCTTTAGGGACCAGGAATCAATTGTTAAATACTGAACACAGAAGTGTCATTGCATTGTGGCAGTCACCCTCTGCCCCCAAGGATCCACAAAAATACCATGATCACTTACTGCACTTGTGGCACCTAGATTAGACTTACTCAATTTAGAGACTAGCAGTAAATAAATACATAAACAGAGATTTTATTTACAGTCCTGTCCACTCAGACCAGACCCTCAAAGTCACAGTCACTGTGACTAAATTAACAGCTGGATTACTGATACACAAATGAGAACAGATTCGAGTTCACTTTCCTGTAGCTTGGTTTGCTTTGCTGAGGAACTAGGACTAAGGATTGTCACAGTCTCCCAAGCTGAAAGCTGTGGCTGAATTCAGTCAGAAAGTGGATCTGCTGAATGGTGATGCCAAAACCAGTACTATTAACTGAGCAATGCACTCGTCAGGGAAAGTGGTGTGCCTTCTGTCAGGCAATGGTTTACTTTAACCAGGCACACCGAGTCCAAACTCAGATCATCCTACCTCAGAAAGATAAATCTGAAATAGAGTGAAGTGGAGGTAAGAAAAATTACATCCAAAGAGTTAGAAACAACTACAGTTGTTTTAATTTGTGAAGGGGTCAAGCAGAACATATAGGAACTGAGAAAACATTAAGTGGAATAAAGAAATAGTAATGTAGGCAGTTGATAAACCGTTTCTCCTTCTCATAACCTTTTTCTTACAGTGCAGGACAGCAGGCTGCACAGGCAACACTGGTTATCTGTTTTTCTGCTGTGAGTTTGTTGACAATTAAGAGTATAAAGACAAAATTTATGGGAGAAATAAGCATGTATTAAAAAACATTCATAACTAAGCTCTGTTTTGAAACCATGTCTGATGGATGGATCTACCACCCCTGGCTCAGAGCACAGCCAACCTCTCCTCAGCACCTCTGGAAGCATCTAAGATGGGCACTACAAAGGCAGGATGAGGAAGCAGGGGCACCAGTGATTTCTCCTCTATGTCACCTCTCCCTTTCCTACCACAAACTCTATTTGAGAGAGTAGAAAATCAGAATTGTGGAGAAATTTTAGAATTTGAGCATGAGACTCCTGGCAAGAAGTTCCTTCAGCCAGCAAGAGAGACTGACTGGAGCAGGTCTGGGTGCTCTGGGCAGTGGGACAGCCTCCCTGAGGGAGGAAGGGGCAGCTACTCACAGTCCAGGATGACCTGAGCTGCCCGGTAGAGCTGCAGCCCCTGCAGCAGGTCCAGGAGCTGCTGCACTGTTGCCAGCCTCACTCCCCACCACCACATGAGCTCCCGAGTGATGCTGATCCCTGTCTTCTCCATGGACTTGATTTTCCGCAGCTCTGTCTGATCAGTTATCACGTAGGAGGCTGGTGGGAGACAATGCAGATTGCTGTTTAAAAAAATTAGGAAAAGCAAGCAAGTGCAAGGGGGGAAGGCTGAGGTGTGAGGCACACTTTGCTTTTGCATCTGCACACTGCTAGAAGGAAGGATCACAATGAATTAGCTACGTGGAGGAGAGGAAAACTCAGTTCCTACAGTAAGATATTCCATGTATTCCTTCGGCTATTCTGGAAAGAGATATTTTAATATCAGAGACCCAAAAAGAAAACCCAGTCACACTTTTCAGTGTATTTTCCCCATAATCTTCCTTCACCTTAATACTCTGTACCAAAACAAGTTCAGATGACACTTCTGGTGTGATTCTCCCAAGGTACATAACAGGAGTAGCTGGCAAGGCTGCCCTCCTGTCTGCATTGCTCAACACCAACATCATGGGAAAGCCAAACAGCCGCTGAATCATCTGGCTGTTATCTGCAGCCAGACAAACCTACCAGTGAAAGGCTATTTTCAAAGGACACGGGGAGCTCAGACTGACCCCACGCGCTGCCCAGCCCCCCACCCACACCCAACCCACCCCACCGACCCACGTAACAAACTCGGGGACTAAATCTGCTGGCCTTACTACACAGCCAGGGCTGAGAACGGGGGCAGGAGTGCGAGGGAGCGAGCGTGGAGTGAAGGAGGAGAGAAAAAACCGGCACATTTGGCCACCCGAGGGGAAAACTGCGAGCGGGCAGGGGAGCGAGGGGAGGGAGAGAAAGGAGCCGGGAGCAGCCGGGGCGAGGCGGAAGTCTGGAATTCCTTCGCTTTCGCTGGATCCCGACAGGAGCCCCGGCCGGGAA